GATAATGAATAAAATAATATTGTCATTTCTTGAAATAATATATTTCATTATTATCATGAATAGTAAGTACCTTCGGAAGAAATTGAGCCAAATTGAAATTTTACCTGAACCATTTGCGTTAGTAAAGGAATGTGAATCTTGCTTACATTTCAGTACGCATGGCAATCAAATCAGTGCCGCATTCAGTAAGCAGTTGAGCAATTGCATCGCTGGGAAAACGACAAACCCGATTGACGTTTATGTCATCAATATTTGTCGAGTCAGAGCAGGCCAAATGAAGGAGGCTTTGTCCCTTGCTTGTTCTCAACGGGATGCGATTCAGACGATTAATTATTTGCCGGAGGAACAAAGAGGTCCTTACATCCGTTTTTCGTAACTCCAATTTGTTTGCTATCACTAACAGGTTTAGCACTGTGTGCATGTTGCTATCCAGCTCTTTCGCGGCCTTATTAACGTACTCAGGATTTAAAGACAGAGAACGAAGTTGCTGGTGATTGCGCTCGAGTTCTTTGACACATGCCGACAGGACCCACAGTACGTGGCTTGGATCCAGCTTCACTTCCTCAGACAGCATCAGGGAGAAAAATTGTAGAATCTTGAGGAGGTCGTCCATCACTGAGCTGCAGATCCTCTGCTTGAGTTCCAAGGCGTGGGTCCATAAGGCAATACATCGTTCATACTGGGCCATGTCTGCGCACACCGAGCCTCGATGTTGGATGGGATAGACTAGTTGTGGGTCATTTGAACCGAGAATCCGTTCTCGAATGATCAGGATCTCCATGTGTAAAGTATCTGCATCGAACTGGATCTCCTCCAGCTCTTCTAGAGTTCTTGTTTCTCGGTGGAAGCCATATGCCGCAATCGGCTCGATGATGGGCTTTTCCAAAGGGTTCCTGGCACCACTCAGGCGCTCTTCCATCGCTTTCCTGAGATAGTAGTATGCACTACAGAGAGAGGGGTGGTAGTTATTTGTTTGCTTGGCAAACGAGGTTCCAAGGAGCTCTAGGGCCTCGATGTGTCGTTCTATGTTGAATTTGAAACGCTGCATTAAGTAGCGGACGACAGCCTCTTGACTATGTTCAGCCGCCAAGAGCAAAGGTGTCATCCCGTACTTATCATTAATCATTTTCGCTCCGTGGGTTATGAGCTCATATACTATCTCCACATTCCCACTTTGAGCCGCGTAGTGAAGGGCTGTCCTTTCATTGTTGTCCTTGAAGTTTGGATCAGCGCCGTGTTCCAGAAGATACTGCGCAATTTTAAGGTGCCCACGAAAAGAACTCGTCATGAGGCAGGTACTGTTGAATTTGTTGGGAAGATTAACGTTGGCCTTTTGCTCAACCAAGTATTCAACAATGTCCATTTTGCCATTGAAACAGGCTCCTCTTAACGGTGTAGAATTAGTTTTTGTCGAATGATTCACATCTGCACCTGCTTTCACCAACGTCTTCACCACTTCTAAGTGACCAGCTGCAGCTGCGCACCATAAGGCGCTGGCACCTTCTATTGTCTCCCATTGACTCTTCACCGTAGCCTCTTCTTCCAAATCGTGCTCGAGCTCGAGAAGGAGCCGGACAATGATGCCATACCCATTTTGAGGGCGTTATTACTCTCCACCCGTAAAGACCCCGTAACGGTATTAGGTTATTATTGGGAAGGAGAGATAGGGTTTCTTCACTTGTCAGGTCAGGAGTAGGTTGAGGCGTAGGTCCTACTAGAAGAGTTGAAGTCTCCCCTGCGTCTTTTCCATTCCTCTCGTCTTTACATTTCCGTGCGGATAGACATGGATTAAGAGAAGATCCTTCTCGTCCAACTTGTCTAACAAGGCGTGCAGATCGCCCCGTGTGGCGTTTTCCACTTGCATGGGGCATCTGGGCATCGACTGAAAGATTAAGTATGGCTAAGTAGCGTCTCGCAAATCCATCACAACAAGGCGGAAAAAATTAAGAAATGGGGAAAAATTAATGAAAAGACAGTCATTTTCTTGTATCCTCTGGAAAATCTCAGTCGACCTATTCAAAACCACTTGGTCAGCCTGACTTTCCTCGATCATTGTTGTCATAGGTAAGTGCCCAGCTGCTGATGCTCGGCTCATAAGAAGTGAAACTAGAGTTCATTAATAATCACAAAATTGTATCATTATTTGGCCCTTGTTCTTCGCTATAGCCTGACAACGAATCAAAGACTCTATTCAAAGACTCGAAAGGGCATAATACCAGTTCGACCCAGAAATGATTCTTTTAATTTTTATGAGTTCAGAGCATGAGATAACTCATTCCTCTCCTAATAGGATTCCTCTCATTTCCTTTTTTGTGGAAATTTAGACATCAAGTTTATCCTTTTTTATTCCCTGAAGACAAGGAAACGATTTTCAGAATGTTGGCCCCATGTAATTATTTTATGGGAGATAAAAACTCCGTAGATGTTTCAATGATTTGTCGATTTCCAACTTACTCCATTTCTCATGATAACATTTCAGACAGACAAAGGGCAAGCCCATACCCGAAGTGCTTCCAGTCATCTCCTACGCTTCTGACCATGCGGGAGCTGCCCCGCAAATAGGAGAGTTCCTTGTGCCTCATTCGAATATTCCATAGGAAAACGAATTACTTGCGGAGGATGACCCCACAGGGCGAATATAACAAACCAACTTGATTCTGAGCCCATGTATGAGGAAGGGAAAGCCTCCCCTATGGTTGGGATGAGCAGGGGTGAGCATTCCCCCTCAAGGAGTTCTTGTTCAGACAGGGGAGGGAAGGAGAAGAAACCAGACAGTCAACCCAATGTCCCCCTTCCGTCGCATGGAAAGAACGAACGACTTCATTCAGAATTGGCTCGCTTCGTTGACCTGTCCGTAACAAAACGTTGGAATANCTTAACGGTGTAGAATTAGTTTTTGTCGAATGATTCACATCTGCACCTGCTTTCACCAACGTCTTCACCACTTCTAAGTGACCAGCTGCAGCTGCGCACCATAAGGCGCTGGCACCTTCTATTGTCTCCCATTGACTCTTCACCGTAGCCTCTTCTTCCAAATCGTGCTCGAGCTCGAGAAGGAGCCGGACAATGATGCCATACCCATTTTGAGCCGCAATAATGAGAGGTGGGCATTTCTGGGGCATTGCCATAATCCAATAATAACCCTTCCTCTCTATCCCAAAGAAGTGAACAGTCCAGTCCTCATCCAACTCCGCATCCAGGATGATCTTCTCAACAAGTCTCCCCTGCGTCTTTTCCATTCCTCTCGTCTTTACATTTCCGTGCGGATAGACATGGATTAAGACAAGATCCTTCTCGTCCAACTTGTCTAACAAGGCGTGCAGATCGGCCCGTGTGGCGTTTTCCACTTGCATGGGGCATCTGGGCATCGACTGAAAGATTAAGTATGGCTAAGTAGCGTCTCGCAAATCCATCACAACAAGACGGAAAAAATTAAGAAATGGGGAAAAATTAATGAAAAGACAGTCATTTTCTTGTATCCTCTGGAAAATCTCAGTCGACCTATTCAGAACCACTTGGTCAGCCTGACTTTCCTCGATCATTGTTGTCATAGGTAAGTGCCCAGCTGCTGATGCTCGGCTCATAAGAAGTGAAACTAGAGTTCATTAATAATCACGAAATTGTATCATTATTTGGCCCTTGTTCTTCGCTATAGCCTGACAACGAATCAAAGACTCTATTCAAAGACTCTAAAGGGCATAATACCAGTTCGACCCAGAAATGATTCTTTTAATTTTTATGAGTTCAGAGCATGAGATAACTCATTCCTCTCCTAATAGGATTCCTCTCATTTCCTTTTTTGTGGAAATTTAGACATCAAGTTTATCCTTTTTTATTCCCTGAAGACAAGGAAACGATTTTCAGAATGTTGGCCCCATGTAATTATTTTATGGGAGATAAAAACTCCGTAGATGTTTCAATGATTTGTCGATTTCCAACTTACTCCATTTCTCATGATAACATTTCAGACAGACAAAGGGCATGCCCATACCCGAAGTGCTTCCAGTCATCTCCTACGCTTCTGACCATGCGGGAGCTGCCCCGCAAATAGGAGAGTTCCTTGTGCCTCATTCGAATATTCCATAGGAAAACGAATTACTTGCGGAGGATGACCCCACAGGGCGAATATAACAAACCAACTTGATTCTGAGCCCATGTATGAGGAAGGGAAAGCCTCCCCTATGGTTGGGATGAGCAGGGGTGAGCATTCCCCCTCAAGGAGTTCTTGTTCAGACAGGGGAGGGAAGGAGAAGAAACCAGACAGTCAACCCAATGTCCCCCTTCCGTCGCATGGAAAGAACGAACGACTTCATTCAGAATTGGCTCGCTTCGTTGACCTGTCCGTAACAAAACGTTGGAATAAGTTTTCCGTTTGACATGAATAAAAGGACATTATCCAAGGAAGAGGTGCACACTGCCTCCAAGATGGCTCATCGAATGGAGAGAGACGTCAAGCGGAACCTCCTCATTAACGCCAGGATGCAAGGAAATTTTGGCTTGCATGCACATAAGATTTATCAATTGTTGGATCTTAGTCCTTCTACGGCGAAGAGATATTGGCTCCAATTTCAATACGATGGCCAGTATCAACACCTAAGAAGTAGGTGATTTTCTCATACGTTGGTATGTACGAGTTCTATCTTAACTTTCTGTTAGGATGCTGAAGTTTATTCGCTATTTGGCTTTTTCCGTTTTCACTCTCGGGAGACGTGTACGGATTGTTCTCTTGATTATCCGTTTTACCATACTCCATTGATGCTAACAGGAAACAATGCAAGACGACCTGTAGTGGACGAGGAGATGCTCGATGCCTTCGAGACCCTGATATTGGAAGAGCTCGTATAATACTTTTTCTTCACTATCTAACTTATCTCTCCATCCTTCTTCCCCTGTCTAGACATGAATTCCTTGAGGGGAAATGCTCACCCTTGCTCATCCCATCCGTGAAGAAGGCTTTCTCTTTCTTACACATGGGCTCAGAAACAAGTTGGTTTGGTATATTTTCCTTTCCAGGCTAATGAAGGCTCGAGACTATATTATGGGATTCATGTTTAATCGTTCTGATTTCACAGTATATGGCAACCGGAGAAGCTATAGGATTCCCATCACTAAATAATGAAATTTCTTTGAAATAAAAATCGTGTACCTGAGTCAACTGTGCAGAAAGTTTTCCATCTTGAGTGCTGGAGACTGTGTTTTCCTTCCATAGGAGGAAAGGAGACTGTTTTATCGCTCCTTCTATAAGCTGTGTCTTCTGCTGCAGCAACTGCTGCTGCATTTCTTCCACCTGAAATCACCAGCCTGCAACTTGCCTCCGATTTTTTTTTTATAGAGATAAATTATGGTTGGTAATGGGATGAAATTTGAGACCTGAGATTTCCTTTCGTTGAGTTCTATCTCGATCATGCGCTGTTTTTGCTCCATCTCTTCGAGTACCGTCTGCTCTCTCGTGAGTAGCTCCTCAAGTTCTTTAATCCTCGTTTCGTGCTCTGTCTTCTGCTTCGTAAATTCTTTTGCCATTTTCCTCTGCTCAGCCAATGTACCCGAGAGCTTTTGCTGCAGCTCTTCTACCTGCGAGAAAGTTAATCGGTTGTCTCCAGCCCATTAAGTTACAGTTTTTCCCAGTTGCTAACGTCCCCGTTTCTCGAAACTATACTTCCGTTTTCAAAACTATTTGAACAAATCCCAAAACTCTGCAAACGTTTCACAAAACTTAGCATCTGATTTCATTGCTAACGTACAAAAAGCGAAACGCGATTTTACAGTTTTTCCCAATTGCTAAAGCCCAATTTTATATCTCAATGGACATTTTTCAAAACTTAACGTACGATCCGCAATAATGAGAGGTGGGCATTTCTGGGGCATTGCCATAATCCAATAATAACCCTTCCTCTCTATCCCAAAGAAGTGAACAGTCCAGTCCTCATCCAACTCCGCATCCAGGATGATCTTCTCAACAAGTCTCCCCTGCGTCTTTTCCATTCCTCTCGTCTTTACATTTCCGTGCGGATAGACATGGATTAAGAGAAGATCCTTCTCGTCCAACTTGTCTAACAAGGCGTGCAGATCGCCCCGTGTGGCGTTTTCCACTTGCATGGGGCATCTGGGCATCGACTGAAAGATTAAGTATGGCTAAGTAGCGTCTCGCAAATCCATCACAACAAGGCGGAAAAAATTAAGAAATGGGGAAAAATTAATGAAAAGACAGTCATTTTCTTGTATCCTCTGGAAAATCTCAGTCGACCTATTCAAAACCACTTGGTCAGCCTGACTTTCCTCGATCATTGTTGTCATAGGTAAGTGCCCAGCTGCTGATGCTCGGCTCATAAGAAGTGAAACTAGAGTTCATTAATAATCACAAAATTGTATCATTATTTGGCCCTTGTTCTTCGCTATAGCCTGACAACGAATCAAAGACTCTATTCAAAGNCAGGGATTTGTTCAAATTGTTTTGAAAACGGAAGTGTAGTTTTGAGAAACGGACGTTAGCAATTGGGAAAAACTGTGATATCTTTACCTACCTTTTTCGAAACCTAACGTACGAAAAAGGATAAGAAGACCGATTCGACGAGTGCCGACGATCACTTCTGACGGCAATCTCTATCCTCCAAAATTCCTTCCAACCAATCACAGAGGTTTTCTCATCGTCCATAGTTGTCAGAGCTGAATGCTCCTTCTCAAACGTTGAAATAGTTTCTTACATCGATACAGCAAAGAAGTTGGCAGGCAATAATGCCGACTGCTATTCAGAAATATCCACAATACATGTTCCTGAGTATTTCCTTAAGATGAATTTCTGTTACGATATAATCAGTAAAAATGATTGAAAAGAGAGAAAAGAGGTCATTTTATGGTCATTTTTGTTAATCATAAGTTACAAAATTGTTATGATCTTGGGACCGATTTTTGATCGTTGATACGAGCACCCATATCTCATTGGGAAAATCTCATCTTATGATCTCCAAATTTTTCCAACTTATGCTCGCTCTATTGGCTCGTTGAGGGGTTTTAGACCGGATACAACGCCCTATACCCTTTGAAAGTGACTTCTCAAAATAACAGTCTGACCTTATTAGGTCAGACTGAAAGATAGTAATGGGCTCGACCGGCAGAAACCGTGGTCTGTTGTGGAGCAGAAATTTTTAATTTCCCGTTCAACGAAGGCGAGAGGTGAAGAACGGAGGGGGGGGGGGAGGAGTTTGTGTGCTTTCAGCAATCAGCACCTCGTCCATATATCTCGCGCGAAATAATCTCAATGGGCGGACTGATGATTTTTACAGGAATAAATCTATGCTGGTTTGATCCTGGTTGTTCGCTGTTGAAACACCCGCCGTATACACATCCACTCAACGGCCTAGCTTGTATAAATTGTCAGAGTAGAAGTTGAGGACAAGAGTCCTCATTGTATGATCCGCAAAGCCGTAAAAATATTTTATGAACAACAAATATCACAGAGGAACGACGTCAGCGTATTGGCACGAGTACATCATCGGCCATAGTGCGATGTATTATATTTAAAATTGTCATGTGGCATACGTGCCAAACGTCCTTCACCGAAACGTATTTTCCAATTGAACACATTGCTGGTGTCCTTGAGAACGAATTTAAGGCACTCGCGTGAAAACTTAACGTCCTTGCCTCAAAAAGTAACGTACGCTCCATTGTTTGACATTGGGGAAGTTCTGGTCGATTTGACCGGGTACGACTGACGCCCTGTCATCGGTCATCGGGCATCGATCCCAGAGACTCGTCGCCTTCCCATCAACAATAATGGATCGTCCTCAGAGTTTTGCCGATGGTGCCTTGAGTTTTGACTTACGTTAGAAATTGATCGTAGGACGTTCTGTTTCGACTTTTGGGGAGCGGAAATCGAATGTCGACAACAGTACGTACGGTTTCGGCACGTGTACGTTAAGTTTGAATGTCATAATTCATGGAGAAATCGCATATACATATACGAGGGCATCGTGCATTACCCTACCCTGGCCTACAGTTGCGAGAAGCTCACATAGTTTTCTCGATCCCGTACGTCCAACGTTGAGCCTCAATGGTGAAATCGAAGCGGATCATGAAAATACTTGAAATATTAAGCTCGAAAAAAAGAGAAACCCATGTCTGGACTGCAGATGTCTTCTTGACCTAACGAAAAAAAAAGTTTTTTCGATGTGAAACCTAATAATTTTTAGTATTATAAATATATAGATATTATAAATTGCGTCTATTGGGGCTTACAATTCGTTATAACGGATTTCTTTTCATTTCCATGGAAAAGGCAGTGATATACACGTGTATATTATATCTTCATGGTTCAGGAGAGTTGGAGTTTTTCCCTGTGTCACACATTATCGTATTTTTATTTTATTTATGTATGATATATCAGCGAGAAATCTATGACAAGAAGGAATACTTAAGATCCCAAACTATGCATTTTATCGCATGACGTTAATTTGAGTTTAAAAAATAAGAGAAACCAACCGAAGGGACTCCTTCTGCTTCTATTCCGAGATATTGTAACCGGAAGACATATTGAGTTTAGGGGAATCTTCAAAATAATTATTTTCACGGTCTCTTCTTGACTTGTCTATAAACATTCCTTATCCCGTACGTTAGAATATCGAAGAGCGTACTTTGATTTTGATGAAGCGACGCACTTTTGTCTGTCGGACGCATGGATGTGAGAAAAGAGCGCCGAGTTTTGCGGATCGGACGTTAAGTTTTGAAAAATGTCCATCAATATATGAAATAGGGCTCTAGCAATTGGGAAAAACTGTAATACGTGCATACCTTTTCTGGCAGACTTGAATGGGATGGAATAAGACACCAGAACTTTCCTTTGGCTGACCTTTGTCTCGATTTGTTGTTTGCTTCGCTCTACCCCTTGACGTATGATCAGCTCCCTCTGGAGATTCATCCATAGTTCTTTGCTGCGATCCTCATGCTTTGCCCTCAGTTCCTCCTTTTCCGCAAGAGTCTTCGACATTTTGTCCAGTTTTTGCCACATTTCAGCTACCTGCAACGTCTCATGTCTGACTCATTTATGAAACGAAGAAAAATGAATGACATTTTCCACCGATTTTCCCTTTTTCTTTACCCACTTTCCCTTTTCGGGTATAACGAGTCGACTCTACATCCTCAATAATATATCTAAATTCACAAGACCCAAGTAGCCATGGGTGATCCAAAACTCGTCCATGGACAGTCCAGTTGTCAAGAGATGGATATAAGTCTAGAGGAGGTCCTCCATTGGATGTACATAGGATGCCAACGCCATGGATCGATATATTCTCATGCATTTTGAGCCTTATTCGAGCAAAATATCCATACATCCAGCACTCAGTTATTTCCATCTTATTGAATGCAGGTTTTATGGATTGGCGTTACGAGGGTGCGATCATGGGATTTATCTTGAATTTTATTTTTCCTTCTATTCTCCCATCTTAGGTACCAACCCAATAACTTCAATCAATATATAGATAGTGTGGCATTATACTATAGTTGGACCAGTGCATGATTTCATTTAGATTTCGACAATACGAACGAAACGATGCGTCAGTCCTTCTTTGGGCATTCATTGGACATCCAGCAATGGAACCTCCAAGGACAACTTTTTATGGTCTTCCATTGGATGTCCTTGGATGGAATCCCCGCTACGTTGAGGCCTTCCATCTGACCTGACATCTAGCCTGACATTCCAAGAATACAAAGTTTCCATAATATAAGCAAGTTTGCGCTCATCCCGCCACTCTATGTCTCCCGATTCCAAAAATGCTAAAAAATTGTTCTGCGTCAGCTTTCATCCTCTACTCGATAATTTCCTACGTACAAGCCTAAGGAATGAAGTAATTATAATTAATTTATTTGTTGAGAGACGTGACATAGCTCAAGGAGACTCCTGACAATTCTTGCAAGTTGCATGGTGAGAGTGTAATTCCCCTTTTGAAGTAATTCTGTTCCTTCCCCATATGAATCATCCCGCCTAAAGAGACAGGGAAAATAATATTTTGCTGGGAGAGATAAGGATGGGACGAGGAGAGATTTATCTCAAGGATACACTTTTCATCCAAACACTCCTCTTCTTGTTCCTCCTAGGAACGTGAGAGGGCGAGATTGTCTGTAAGCAGAAAATGCCCATTTCCTAAACCATGAATATGAACATGCAAATTTAAGCACCATAGCTACCTGGGGATTATTATCGCTGCACCCCTCAATTGTCATCCATAAGCTTTCCCAAAGGGAAACAATTGAACCAGAGACGGACATCCAATGGACATGTTCAAGAATTTTCCTTGTACGAGACATTTAGTCATCCTGGGGATCTCCAAGGAGAATATAAATTGGACGTCCAATTTTCCATGAGGGTATGTGCAATGGATTTATTTTGGATCAAAATTGGGGAACATAAAAAAAATCCAACCTTAATTCAAAATTAAAATAATTCTCCTCATTGTAGGCCCTGGGATTAGCTTGGCAAATAGACTGCCTCAAGGTGAGTTATACTATTACCTTTCTTCGGCCAAGTAAATATTGATTCAGGGCGTACGCGTAATATTTGTCCACGGCCTGGTCCTCTACAGGTTCTTAAACTCATTCGACAAGACCTTACACATTTCCATAGGTGATTCACCCATCTCGAGTATATCGAAAAAATAGGTTCTGATTCTGTAAACAGATTGCCTTTCTCCCTTCAAAATTGAAGTGAAACTTGGACGCGATCATCAGGGATGTTCATGCAATGCATGTCTATCTTGCGTCACATCGATCGGTGGCCGATCCATGTAGTGCTTTATGACATGTTTTACTCTCACCGAACCCACTGCATTGAGCACGAAGAAGCATCCGACGTTGTGGACAGAAGACCGAGGCGTCGATGTGAGGGCAGAATGACCCAACGATCTGACAATATTTCAGCATGATATCCAACAATCGTTTTAGAGAGAACTGAAGCCCGCGTAAATATAAAGTAGTTAACTGCATTTCTTATCCCGAAATGTTGCATCACCATCAATGGGAAGGGCATGAGTCTCGTTCAAACTGTACTTATATACGAGTATATTACTTCAGGTTAGGCTGATCTCCGAAAAACCCACATCTACTCTATATAGACGATCGTGACTCACTGACTGGCGCTAATTCTAACCATGTCCTAGAAAGGTTAGAAATTTGAAAGTTAGTACACATGTACCTTTTGGGATGCAGAGATCAGAAAAAATTCGACTTCGGAAGTACATGGCCTGGGGGTAAAAATTTTGGGGAGAACCATTTTTCTTAAATATATATTGTGACAGATGAGGATGGCATTCAGAGAGTTAACTAGATGTCTCGGGTTCGGTGGTGTAGTAGTAGCATTTCTGACCGGCAATCAGGAGACCCGGGTTCAAATACCGGCCATTCCTTGGCCATCTTTTGGCTTCTTTTGCCTTCCATGTCCCGTTACTCTTTCCCCCTCCATAACATGACAGTATTTTTGCTTGAGTAAAACGGAGAGACATGGAAAGCTGAAACCTGGCATGGAGGTGCCTACCGAGACGATGAGTTCTGGAAAAATGCAAAACTTAGATCCATGCCCTGGGGAGATGTTTTTTGGGGCCGACGTTTTCAAGTAATTTTTGTCCTGGCGTATTGAGCTAGTGTGGAAAGATGAAACTTGGTACATAACTACTTATTGGGATGCTGCAGAAGAATTCAGACTTTCGAAGTAAATACCCTGGAGGCACAAATTTTCAAAGAGAGATGTTTTCAACTAATTTTTTTTGCATCAGTTAAACTGATGAACATGGAAAGCTGAAGAAATATGTCTCCTTAGCGTAGATTTATTGGAGAGAAGTATTTCAAAATGTATTCTCCACCCTTACAAAAAGGGACACAAGAAAAGACTTCAAGTTAGGCACACTAGAAATCAAGGAAGTAATGATTTTGATGAAGATCAAGACTTTAGACCCCATATGTCACGTATTTCAGTGGGGACGTGCTTTAAATATGTGTTTCCCATTTTGCAAAAAATTAATGAATTAATCACTATCCAAGGTAATGGAGCGCCGAAGGCGCGACCATGGCGAGTTTGTTTGCCCTTCGGGCAAACAAACTTGCTAGTAAAATATATAAAACACCTTGGAAGGAGTAAGAAAAATAAATGGAATGCCGTTATGTAATTGACAAGTTCTACGAGAGTTCAAGTTCCCTGGAGTGGTTCTGTATTCAGAGAATTAATAGCCAGTTCAATTTCATTCTTCCTATTGCCGACGCATAGGAATATGAGGAGTTTTTTTATAATTGGAAGGGATTAAGTATGAGGGTTACTCAGTAAGTTAGAAATTAACGCACAAAAAATAAACACAAGAGAAACCATTGAAGCTTTCGGTTGGGAAGTTCTTCCACATCCTCCTAATAGCCCAGAACTGGCCCAGAGTGATTTTCACCTGTTTGGTCCGCTGAAAAATGCACTTGGTGGCTGACGCTTTGTGGATAATGCAGCGGTTGAAAATGAAGTACGTCAATGGTTACATCAACCCACGTCTTTTTACGCAGCGGGTTTCCAGGGGTTGGTAAGGAGATGGAACGAGTGCTTCGATGAACAGGGAGATTATGTTGAGAAATAAACATTACTTCCATAGTCTGATATGTGTTTCTTTTTGTGTGTGCTAATTTGTAACTTATTTGTTAGTGGGATGAAATGTGAGACTGGAGCTTTTGGTTTCCTTGTGATCTGTTTCAATATTTAGCTGTATTCGCTGTCTCCTGACGTACCGATTGCTCTTGCTTGAAGAACTCCCCAAGTTCTTTATTTCTTGTTTCATGCTTTGCCTTTTCCTCAGATAGTGCATTCATCTGTTCCTGCAGCTTCCGTTTCATCTCTTCTACCTGTAATCATGAGTAAATCCTCACTTTAACTTCATTTGAGATATACAATATTTTTGGCGAAAGAGAATGTGGTAATGAATGTAAAAAGACACCTCAGCTTTGGTTTTACCGAGCTCTGTCTCTATTTTTTGCTTAATTCGCTCCATCTCTTCACGATCAGACTGTTCCTTTTTGAGTTCCTTTTCAAGTTCTTTTCTTTTAGCTTCATACTTTGTTTTCAACCCTCTCTCCTTTGCCAATGTCTTCGATGTGTTCTCCAGCCGTTCTTCCAGCTGCTTCACCTTCTTTACCAGCTGAATATAGATCAAGACACGGTTACAATTTCTTGGCTTTCACCCGATAAAGCTTGTGCTCAGTGATATATGACATTTTACTGTATTCATATAATGCATAGTTATTTCACAGGTCTTCTACAATTTAATGCAAAAGCTATTTTTCTTTATTCTAGGCACAAGCATTATCCTTGGAAATATGATATCGGATACAATTTTATGAAGAACAAATGCATGTTCTCGCAGGAAAATTGGTTAATATCATAACTTATAACTAATGAATTCTTAGTATTTATTTTTAATTTTAGCACCTCATGGTATGAAGTTCTTTTTTTACGCAAATCATGATCAATTGTGGAAAAATATTCCATTTAGGTTATTATATTTGATGTAGCTTTAGAAACTCAGGATGCCCAATTCAGAAATGTAAAATATCAAAATATACTTAATATTGATTAAGATATTACAAATGAATAAATAAATCCTGCTAAATAAAGTAATTAGTTTTCGGAACTTCGAGCCCTCATTTTCTCTTTTGTTTCTCAACATTTTCATTTTCTATTTCATTATTTACGTTAGAAAACAAATGAAAATGTAATGAAAACAAATTCATAAAAATTGTTAATCTTCGAAATTTTCAATATCGGAAAGTTCCCTCTTGCAACATACTTGACGATGAATCATAGTCCGGAAACATAAGTTTAAGGTGGCAATCCTACTTTAGAATCGTCATTTTTGGGGGAAACATTTTTTAAAACTAAATTTGGATACAATCATTCTTCAACTCGTGCAGATTCATAACATCGAGTAGATTGCATATTCCTCCAAGAAATGACGGTAGCTTTTTTCATTTACCCAATCCTTTAAGACTTTTTAATACCATTGAATAAGTAATTAGATCACAAAATTCGCTAAAAGTAAAAAATTTCATTTTAAAAAAGTAACCTACTTCTTGAAAAACTGTTTCCCTCAGGACCTTCGTAAGGATTCAAACTGCAACATTTGCCAATTCCAATAAACATATGTGAAACATCTGTGAAAAATGGGGTAAAACCACCAATGTTCGGATAGTTAAGCCTCCCTGGTCTCACCATTCGTTCGTCCTACCTCAACGGGACAAGCTGGAAGTCTCATTTTTTTGCTCCCGGGAGCAGGACACGATGAGGTATGAGTGCAGTAAAGATGTTGTCCTTCCTAGTCTCACGACAACCGATACCGCCTATAATGTGTGTCCGTACTTAGATGCGGAAAAAATTAAGTTCGGACACCTTCATCTTTGTTCGGACACCTCCTTTTTAAAGTCTCAAATAAGGCTTGAATGAGGCTCTATTTTGGTGCAAAAGAATAATAACTCTCTCCCAAAGTATTGGATCTTTTCTTTTTTCTTAATAGAATAAGACGATCGTGATTGAGTGAGCGAGCGATTGACTGTAATTCGAACAATAATCTAGATGAGATTGAAAGTTCGAACTTCATACTCGAATGACACTGATGGTGCGGATTTCAGGTACTATTTCTAAGAGACATAGAAGCTGAAATTTGATGCATTGGTACCTATTGAGATGCAGAATTCAGGTGGGAAGAAGCTACTTTTAGGATTCGTTCCCAGGGACATATTTTTCGGGTTGACCTTTTTAAAAAAAAAATTATTTCCTTCCAGGAAATCATGGAGACAGAAGGCTGAAACCTTACTTAATAGGTACCTGCTGGCATGCAGACACAAGAGAAAATTCACCTTTTGGGATTCATATTCTGAGGGTAAATTTGAGGATGCCATATTTGTAAATATCTTTTGCTTCGTTGAATCGGGCGGCGGTGGACATAGAAACCTGGAATTTGGTACGCAGGTTGCTCTCCAGTCACTCATTTCTGGAAAAATCCTATTGTGGTAAATCCTTTGGGTGCACACTCTTCATTAAGGTCATGTTTTCGAGTTTCTTTTTTTTTTAAAGCAGATCGAGAAGCACAGTTCGTTACATTCAGTAGACAATTAGTTCTCTGTATGCTCAAATCAGAAAACACTCAACTTTAGGGACATATTTTCCCTCCAAATTTGGAGGATCCTAGAAGAAAATTTATCTTGCGGTTGTGTTCATCTTTAGCAATGTTCGCCTTCCGGAAAGACATCTCACCCGGTTTAAATCCCTGATGGCTTTTTCAACAGCTTCGGGTCGATAATCCCTTGCATTCCACCCCCTACCATGATTGCACTGCTTTGTAGGCACGTCGCACTCTTAGATGTGCAAAAATATATATGATGCTGTACTTTTCGCGCATGTGCTTCAGTGTCCGAAGTTACATGTCCCGTTATGAAAGTTCGGACAGAGCCCCAAATTACATTTTCTCTGAAAAACATACCGCAACTGAACTTTTGTCAACTTTAAACGTTAATCATCTCAAGAGGACATATTTACGAGGATATGGCACTCGTGAAGCTATGTCCGTACTTTAGTTTCTCATACATCTCTTGACCTAAGTTCGGACACACCGAAAGTAAGACAATAATCTGATCAATGCACGTGCATTCTGCGCAACAGGACTCCATGTCCTTCTAAATTTACTTTCCTGGGAAGTAAGAATTGAGTGCAGAAAATAACAATGTCACGTTTGAAACGTTTTAAAAGTAAGGTTCCCTTCTTACGGTTTCTCGAAGAAATCATACTCTTCGAGATATAGCATTGGTCTAAGCCAAATATCTTGGAATTGTGCAAAGTCATCATGACCACCGGTTTTCCTTCGCTCAGTAACAGTAACATGTTCTTCTCATGTTAGGAAGAACAATTTTTGAAGACGGCCTCGCGAATGCTTAGTTTTGTAGCAATGTTTGCAACAGTGTCCGAACTTAGGTACTGTCCGAACTTAGGTGGTCTTACCCTACTGTTTGAAAAAGTTAATTTTTTGCGTTCTGGCGGCCTTATTGGACCTCATTAGAATAATTATGAAAATGATCTCAATGAACGCCCAATCAACTTTCATAATCAGTTCGGTTTCTTGGAAGGAATAGAGATGGAAAAAATTACCTTAAAGTACGTCTGCTACCTTAACGCTTCTAATTATCTGATATTTTGCACCACGTATTCTGCTTGACCAATTTAGGTATTTAGGTATTCGTATATATATATTGCTGTATTATATATAGGGTAATTTAAAAAAGAAGCCTTGCTATTTTCTATGGGAGAAACAACTCCATGAATGCAAATAAATTATACATTGTCTATGTGATTGAGATTGGAAGATTATATGGTGCCGAGATGCACGTCTATTTTCTTTAAAGGCTCCCCTGTCCAAGTTGTTTTATGCCCATTTATGCTGCTTAGAGGTCAAAATTTACACCTAAGGTGAGAGTATGATCTGTACTTGACCAATATCTCAGTATTCAATAAATTTGACAAACGGCTGGAATATTTTGAGAATAGACCGCAGACAGAAAACGTACGCCTGTACTTGCAGCAGAGACGGAGAAAAAAGAGTTTTAATTTGGTCATGAGTGGCAAAATGGCCGGCAACTCCCTGGTGGCAAATTTATAACTACACTGTTAATATAAAGTCACCACCCTTATTTAGCTCGTACTTGGCCATAACTTTTCAAGGAGCGGCTGGATGCAGCTGATACTTCACAGAGAGGTTAATGAATTTCAGAGGCTTTTTTCACATAACGCAAGATGGCGCTGCGGGCGACTGCAATACCCCTTATCTACATTCCATGCTACTTTGTAGGTAGAAAAAAGAAAAACTATTAATAGGTCCTTGAAGCTCTGGGTTAATTATCAGTTACATCTGAAAGCCCTTTTAAAAAAATATGGTCAAACAAATTTGGATGCTGACCTGTAACTATCCACCTTTGGTCATGTTAGTTGTTCGAAAATATGACAAAATAAATGTCTCTTTAGGTTTGTCTAAAAGCACACCTTTGGTATACGTACATATAATTAAAATCGGTTTAAGGGCCAGCATAGACCAAACTAATTGGATTTTGAGAAGAGGAAGCATGGACCTCTACCGCACTTAAGTTGTGATGATTTAGCAAAAAACTTTATAACGGGACAATCTCAGAGTCACACCATATTTTGGGGGTACGCAGAGATTTAAATCTTTTTTGCTGTGGAAATACTTAATGTAAAGTATTTTGAGTACTATTAATAATGAATTTGAAACATTCCATTTGAAAGAAAATGAAAGCTAGGCAAGTCGATTTCAGTCATTAATATTTTGTACTTTTATCCTCATACAGCCCTATTGCTGGAAAAAAAAACATCCTTTTGCGACTTCATAAATGCCCTACTTCCTCTGATCAGACTGGTTCTTGTGTGTCATGACATGTAATGCAACGCAAGTATCAGAAGGAAAACCCGAGGACTAACTTCAGGCTTCGTAGGAGATGCTTGCTCGTCCAAAGTATGGCCCTGTTGAGAAATGATTTTCACGAGTAACCAATAAAAGGGCAAAAGAGAGAAGAGATGAATCGATTCACCATCTTCTTGAGCAACTGTCTTAGCACTTCCTGGCTAAAATCCTGTTGAGACATCTCTCTATCCCGCTATAGAATACGTAGCAGGAGGAACAGATGTTACTTCATGGAGATAAATCGAACGAGTGCATCAGAAACACTTTTGCCAGCTTAAAAAAAATCAGTACCTCCATCCCGACAGGAAATGGAGGACTTTGTCCTATGGGAGGCATCCATTGGTTGCTGAATGGAAGAGAGAAACGAAACATTTGAGAGACCTCATGTCTGCATCAGTAGACAGTCAATAGTACTCAACTGATAATTTATTAAAACTTTGCAGGACTCACTCGGGTACACCGTACTGGTTTCCAAATTGGTTTTGGTCCGGAATCATTCGATGATGCGCGATTGGGGGTCCCTGATACGAATCCGCAGGAAGTGGCATTGGGACAGGAAAATGGGACGGGAATCGGGGCATCGGAGAATTGGTCAGATTATACTTGAGATAAGGATCGTGGTTCCCATGGTTGAACCCTTGCTGACTTGAGAATTCAGTTGGATGCACTTCTTGTTG